GGGGGAGTAGTAGATACGCTGGAGGTTAGGGCTAGGATTCAGAGTGACCTAGACAAACTGGATGATAGGGCCAAAAGAAATCTCTTGAGGTTTAACAAGGACAAGTGGAAAGGCTTGCACTTAGGACAGAATAATCCCATGCATCGGTACAGGCTGGGTTGCTGACTGGCTAGGAAGCAGCTCTGCAGAAAAGGACCTGAGGGTTACAGAGGGCAATAAATAAGATGAATATGAGCCAGCAGTGTGTCTTTGTTGCCAAAAAAGCTAATGACATACTGGACTGCACTGGTAAGTGTGTTGTCAGCAGGTCAAGGGAAGTGATTCTTCCCCTCTACGCAGCACTGGTGAGGCCACATCTGGAGTACTGTGTTCAGTTTTGGGCCCACCATTACAGAAAGGATGTAAACAAATTGGAGAGAGTCCAGTGGAGGGCAACAAAAATGGTGAGGGGGCTGAGGGACATGACTTACGAGGAAAGGCCGAAGGAACTGGGTTTATTTAGCTTGCAGAAGGGAAAACAGATTGGCTTTAACAGTAGCCTTCAACTACCTGAGGGGGTGGGGTTAGAAAGAGGATGGAGCTAGACTGTTCTCATCTGGTGGCAGATGACTGAATAAGGAGCAACCGTCTCAAGTTGCAGCAAGGGAAGTTTAAGTTAGATATTAGGAAAAATTCTCTCACTAGGAAGATAGTAAAACACTGGAATAGGCTACCCAGAGAGGTGGTGGAAGCTCCATCCTGGGAGGTTTTCAAGACCTGGCTAAATAACGCTTTGCCTGGGATGATCTAATTAGGGATAGTCCTGCTTTGAGCAGGGGGTTGGACTAGATGACCTCTGGAGGTCTCTTCCAACCCTAATTTTTTATGATTCTATGGATACACAAAATATTTTGATGAAAACCAAAAGGAAATTAAAAATAAAACCTTTTCACAATTTGAAAACATACACTGGATAACCGTAAGAAGTTCAAACAGAGGTATCTGTAAAATGGGTTCTTTTATTGGAATTGTGCAAATCTTGAAAAGGTCACATCGTAAAATTTCCCTTAAGACAGGTACAAGAAGGAGCGATAGCCTACTTTCCACCCAGGCTAAAATACTTCAACTTGTTTATCAAACTGAAATAAGGTAATGTGATGCCAACATAATGTCAGAATTTCTCGGATTTTATACCCCCACAGAAAGACTGAAAAGAGAAACACCATTTATTTTCACACGGGGCATTAAAATTAACAGAATTGTCTGCATATAGCTATCAGTTAAATCTCTTATCCCTCATTTAACGTCATCAAAAACATTTTGCTTTCAGTAACATGCTGTTAAAAAAATTAGATATGTTTAGTAACTCAGAAGTAAAAATTGGAGTCAATAAAATCATTCCAGTACTAACCACCATTCAGAGCAAATGACCTCCAAACACTTTTGTGAATGCATTTGTAAACAATACTTCAAAGACAAATTTGTGTTTTGCTCTGCCATTTATTTGAGTTTCTCTATGAATCCAGTTGTTAAGCTGATTCGTAATTTAAGATACTTTATTCAGCACTGAAAGGATTTTTAAGATATTCATGCTCTTATCTCATATTGAATACCAAGAGAATTTAGAATCAACATTGGGAAATAAAATGAAGATTCAATACTCAGAAGAGGAAGAGACAAGAAATATAATGACCAAACATCATGTAAAATATACTGAAAACCAGGTGTGAACATGTTTCTGAAGTTTAGACTTTGTATTTGAAAAACACAGGAAATCCAATCAGGGCTAGCAGTGTGGACTCACTAACCTCAAGCTCCATTTTACCTATTTGTTGACAAGCTCACCTGGTTCCTCATTTGGAGAGCCAATTATACTGTTCAATCTGCGAACTCTTAAAGTTATACATCCATTTTCATGTAGGCAAAACAAACCATCACGTTGAAAGCAGGGAATTACCTATATAAATAGATGCCAAAAGCATTTGGATTAACACCAGATCATGTACTGTGCAATTCATATTAGTATGCTTATGGAACTGCACGTTCAATTGTTTTAAAGTAACTGAAGAACAGAAAACGAAGGGACTATTTGAGTCAATATCTAGTCACATTATCTGTGGCAGAACCAATACCCTTTAAGGAAATTCCAGTCTCTTGTGCACATACACAGTGCAGCCCTGTGCTATAAAACTTATTCAGCCCTTGACATTTGTTTTCCTGAGTGGATTAAATCATAAAATAAATGGTATGTACACACACAATTTATTTTATTATTTGGTTATATATTTTTATTATACGCACACACATGTACATATACATAAGTGTAAGCAAAATCTCAGTTCCTTATAACTCAGGAGATTACATGGTTTTATGCATAAATATGTAAATAACTGATGGATATTCATGAAGATGTCTGCAAATCCCAAATATTTCCTGCATTTTAGAACAAAAGTATGTACTGAAGACTGTGAAGACTAATTGGGAAGGCATTTGATAACATCTAATAACATTCAGCCTCTGAAATTAAGTCAGCCAGTGCCATATGGTTCATAAGGTCCACGTCAATCAATCTGAGAACTTTATCACTGATGACTTACGAAGTAAATTGGGATACTAAATTTACTGGTATTATTGATACTGGTTTCAGGACTACAGAGCATGTTTCTCAGGACTTCAGTGGTTTCATTTGTTTTAAAGTAGCACTTCTTCCACATGCACAGATAGAGGTGTGCTCAAAAATCTGTTGTAGCTTTGTACTCTGCTTTTTCTCTAATCACATGATCTCATTCACTTAGATAGGACCCCAGACTTGACTTCACAACCTAATCAAGCAAAAGTAAATGCTAAAAAAAAAGTGCATGTCATATTTTGTGTAAAAAACTAAACAACCAGAAAATGAAATTTCCTTTCTCCGCAGGATTGTTTCCACACTGATAATTTTCATAGCACAACAAACCTAGGTGGATTTGCAGAAGGATTCATAGAGCTAAATTAAACAATGTTTGCTGCATCAGGGGCCAACTTTTTCCCTACCAAATTTCTTTCTATTCTACTCAAAATACAATCAGCCTGTGGGCCAGCGAATAGTCATATGTTTTTTCTACTCCTCCCTTAACAGAAAGCACCCTGCCCCTACAATTAGAGAGCACCTGGTAAATAAAAAAATGTCATTCAAAATTTGGTATCTGGTAATGCGCGATCAGAAAGAAGAGATGCAGTAAAATTAACTGTCTAATTCCCTTCTTGCCTACCTTTGTTCAGATTTAGGATGAACACAGCAGTTTGCTCTGATTCCAAAGCTTTTAATTTTCCATGCCCTCCCACAAATGTAAACTGAAAATGGAACTGCTGTGTTGGATGATTAGCTTCTCTTCTATAAATACTTCTGCAATGTATCAGTTTTCAAAATGACATCCTGATCAGATCAAATATTAATAATAATAAAATATTGGATAAAATATTAATAATAATAAAATATCAGATAAAATTCTAATAAAAAAGAAACTAAAAAGGAAAAAAAAGATTAACATGGAGACTGTTCATGGAAGGAAACTACTGACAAACTCTTGCTGGAGTGTTTGTGAAAATAACTGGAATATTATGCAAGATGCTAAAATGTGCAATTCCCCAAAATCATTCTATTTACATTATTTCTAATATAATACCAGCTTAATCATACTGTGAGATTTAGAAAGCTTCCATTACAGCATGCAGGAAAAACAGATGCAATGGAAGGCTAACAGGGCTCACTAGCCAGCTTCCAGTATTCCATGTGCTCTGATAGTAACTTGCTGCAAGCTAAATGAAGCGATGAACTCCCCTTAACCTCACAGCTTTTAAATTCCTATCCTCACTCTTTTTTAACAAATTTAGGCCTCTGGGAAGCTGTGAGGAAAGCAAAAAAATATCCCTGACATCATCAGTTTTGTCCTGAGGGGGTAACTTGGTCATACTGACATTATCTTGGAAATCCAGTTTAAACTACACTTTCATAATTCAACAAGGAGAGCAGGGCAGTAATTGTAGCAGAATGGCTGATGCATGCCAGTATACTTTATGTACAGCAGGAAGCAGAGGACAATCAACTGGCTCTCTCAAATGGACCAAAGGGGTAAAGGAAGAGGCAGTGGTACCTCTTCTCCAACCCTATGAACCACAATCTCTGCTGGCATTTAGGCACTGGGATGGGTGGATGGAGTAGTCCAGGCTCACGATCTCTTGCACAGTCTTCCCAGTCTATCCCCTGATAGCAACATCTATTCTCATGGCAACACAGGAGGCAATTCTGAGAACATAATACTCGGCACTGTCACAGGATCCTGGGTTCAACTTCTCAACACACAGCTTCCCCTTTATAACTCAGCAATAAGAAGTATCCTAGGTTGAAACAACTCATTCTTACCCCTTCAGCAGGGGAAAAAAACCCATCTTGTTTCCCTAGACCCAGTAAAATAATTGACACACCTAATATTTAGATATTAATTTCATTAATTGTCAGTGGAATTTCTGAGAAACTAGTGCTCATTCAGGACATATCCTTTTCACACCCAAATTGGAATTTCTGATGGGTCTCAACAATTAAAAATCCCAACACAGATTTGAGACAAATGCAGTAAATGGAATTTTAAAGAGACTTTCATTCATGTACTTGATATTTATAAAAATTCACTAGAAGACCATCAATAGAATTAAGAAAAAGCAATCTTAAATATCTTACTGCAAAAAAAAAAATATTCAATGAAATTAGCTTAGCAACAAAACACTTGGATAAATTACCTGTAGAAAAGGTATCCCTGTTCTTTCAATTGCTATCACACCCACTGTCTGGTTCACTTCCAGGTCAAGAATCAAAATTTCTCTGGGATAGAGTAGCAACATGTAGTTTCTTTTCGAAGGGAGGTATGACAACTGAAGGCAGTCATTCAGGGTTACGGACTCAGCACTGAAATACACCAAATACAAATTTACAAAGTATGCTGTTAGGTTATGCAGCAACAGGAGCAGTTTGGAATAAGTTTTAATATTGTTGTGTTTCAAAGTCATATATTATTAATAGTGAAAAAAGTGATATTTGGCATATTGCCATAATGAGCAATTGTCTAAGCACTACCCACTTCAAGAGTTAAAGATAGTTATAAAAATTCACTTAATTCATTACGAATCAAAATCACCCACTGATATCATAGGTGGTAGGACTTTTTTTTTTAAATACATTTGCTTCTCTAGACTCACAAATTTAATGGTTTTACATGTCCAGTGCAAAACAGTCCAATTGCAAAGTGTTGGCCATTGTAGCAATTATTGGTATTCATGGAAAATTAGTTTTACTTGGGCTGTTTATTGGTACTTGCATGTAACCATGCATAATTTTTTATTTTGCAATTAACTAAATTAGTCTTGTTGCCAAAAAGGTATATTCAACCCAAGGAAAAAATAGAGAGCATGCAAATGTTATTTCCATATCCCACTGGCTACAACACTAAAATTTAAATGCATTTAAATTTGCGAGGAATTTTGGAGTAAAAGATACTCTTTAGCTTATATGTTTAATCCAATAAACTGATCTGAATAGAAAATAACTATATAAAGTTTAAACTCCTAATACTCTTCAAAAGACCCATATAGTTCAATAACCAACTCCCACATCTCCTCTTTTTTTTCCATTTTTCCCCTTGCTTCACCCAGTCTAAATAGCTTGTTGTGACAAACTATAGGTTTTATTGTAAGATTTGTGCTTTAAAGTTTGATACAGACATTCAAAAAAGCCCAAAGAGGAATCAATCTAAGTTACAGTTTTCTGTAAGCAGTGTAGTTTAGATTAGTAGTGAACAGAACGCACATTCACCCTTTGGTGGGGAGATCAAATATTAGACTGGCTTTCGCCATTTTTAAACCAGTTTAAACCAGCATGTTGAACTCCTGTTCTGCTATGGGTATAAAACAGCTTTGTGCACCAAACATCTGCTCTGTTACAGGTATAGACCGATTTCCGATCACTTGTACCGGTAAAAGTATAATATCTGTACCTGACTTAAATGTGTTCATGTAATACTGTCATATGCCTGTTTCCTGAACTAGCCTGTACATGGGGAAAGAAGAGTCCCTGCTAGGTCCAAGAGCTGCAGCAAGAGACAAAATGGATCTTCAGGAATAAAGAAAATGAACAGATCTGCTGATATGTCAACAAGGTAGTATAGGAGGTAACACTAGAAAACTCCAAGGAAGCTGAGGGATAAGCATCATAATGGACCAATGGAAAGAGAAGTCTGCAAAAACAGGAAATCACCCTGGGAGCTGGAGAATCTAAAAAGAGTAAGAAACAAAGGAACACTCAAGGCACTATGCTAAGCTAACCTGGAGTGGGGGAGAGAGAAGGAAGCAGGGCATGTGCAGGATTGCACGAGCTAAATTGAGTGCCTTTGTTTGGGGTACCGTCCTCTTGCCTTTACCCCCAATATCTGCTTTTATTGTCTGCATTATTGCTTGGGACTTTGGGATGCACTTTTCTATCGAAAGGGCAAAGTCCCTTGTTTGGGGGTGAATGATATGGCAGTTCCCTGGGAAAAGAAGACCCCAGGAGACCAGGAAAGGACCCAAAGACAAAGGTATTGGGGTCAGAAGGAACTTGGGCTGCGCCCCCCGCCCCAGCTTCAGAGGGTACAGAGAGATCAACAAGACTAGACGTCCCAAGCAGGCACTTCCATGGGATGGGGGGGATCCAAGATACTAGCTTCTACATTCATAACCCTCTCACACACTCCTATTCAGCCACACAAATCATCCTATGCCTGCAACAGCGTTCCTGATCTGAGCTCTTCCCTCTGTTTCTCTTACTGCCTTGAGGGAGCATAACCGAAAGACAAATTACACTAATCCAAACAAATATCTGTTACATCTATCCCATGCCCTCTGTCCAATTAAATTGTTTTGTGGATGACATGTAGGAAGATGACTAGGATATATTTGGTACCATTTCATTAAATAGTGAAATTCAAGAATTGAATTAGGAGAACAAAGAAAAAAAGTGTCTGTTATTTTACCAGTAGTACTAAGTGTATGTGCATATATTGCAGCAGTCCATTTGCTTTCCTTCTTGACATTTCCAAATCAAGCGTTCATCTGAAGCAGCACAAGTAAATCATGACGGAACATGAAAAGACAATATCATACCTTTTAACTTGGTATCTAGATCACAGTTTCTTTAAATGATTGCAAAATGAGATGCCGTCAAACCTCCTATTTGGCTTGCAATTTCTACATCTTATTAAAATAAGTACAGATTTAAAATCTCTACTAAAGTTTGGCATTAAGCACCGAATGACAATATAGTCTGATTAGTTTGTTCCCACAATTGCAGGCAGATTGAGAAGTATTTTTAGCATGTAAAAAGAAAAGGACAAAAAGAAAAAAATAAGCTATGTGAAAGTAAAAAAATAACCAATTCCTAGGGAAGTGCAAAATGCAACAATTTTAGACTTAAAGCATTTTACAGTTCTGATTGTTCTGGTATATGGTGCAATAAAAATACTCTTACTAATACTTAAGTGTGGGATAAATATTTAAGTTATCATTTTTAAGAATCTCTACCTAGTTACCATTACTAAAGGATTCCTAGTTTTCCTCATTCCATAATCAACAGGAAATATCAGCCCCTTTTCAACTTTCATTACTGAACGAAGGCTTTTATGAATTAAAAGTGTCTTATGTCTTGGATTGAAAATGGTCAAATTAGACTCATGCTAATCTCCTTTAGCAAGCAGCTCAATTTCCAAAGATCACCCACTGAGAACACGACCATAAATATCCCTGTCATAACATGCCAAAAGAATGTGGCTGCTTCTCTGAGTGGATTAGAGAAAACTCTTATAGCTCTAAATAATAGCCTTTCATGGTTTTAATGACAAGAATGAGCACCTGGCATCAAATAGGGAGCACAGGTATGATGTACCATTTCTTCCTTTTTTTGCTGTTTTCTTGTGTTATGCTCTATTAACTTGAAGAGAGCTGCAGTACTCCAACTTTGTTCACCATCAGATCTTCAGAAATAAATGGACACAGATTCACAGCAAGCCAGAGGTGGGGGAAAAACAGTGATAAATAACTGCTATACTTTAAAGTGTACTATTTCAACATTGAAACAGGTAGAAATGGGTCTTAGATTGAATCTTTCCTGCTCAAAAAACAGTGATGCCACACTCAAAGCTCCCCTGCAGATGTAGAACCCTATTTTCTGCCAGCAGTTGCATCACTAGTGTTAAGCATTGTAAGACTTCTGCTGCCAGCCAACAGCCACCAAAACAGGCACACAGGCACTTCTGTGCCATCTGCAACAATCTCCAGTCAGTATCTGATGCTTTCATATGGTGAACTTTGCATTCTGGCAGCAGAAATTCAGAGTGGAGCCACCACAAGTACATGGATGTGTATGCCTTCTCATAGCTTACTGTTGGCAGCAGTATCTACTGCCAGAACTTCTGCTGACAAGGAAGTATGGACAAGGCCCAATCAGCATTAATTACCTGAAATTTAGCACTATGGAATATATTATCACTCAAAGGTTTAAGGACACCTTACTGTTAAAGGGTACATCTCTAGGGAGGATACTGACAACAGGATAGAATTAGAAAACTATCGTCAGGACACCATAAGGATGAAGTTTTGCACACCAGATTCTGACTTGTTTCACCTTTTTATCCTATATTCTGCAGAATTCTGCTGCTTATTACACTTGCCGCTGAAGACAAGTTGCACACCAGTAGGCTGAGTTCACTACACACGAGGTTCTTTGCACCTATTTTCCCTATAAAAGTGTCTTATGTAGGGGTGCACTGATAAACACTTTTTGGGCCGATACCGATGGCCAATTATTAACCAGTCATATCAGCTGATACCAATCTGATTGCTAATATGCAGCCCGGCAGCTTGGAGAGCAGCATTCGGCTGGTAAGTTGGGGGGAGGGCAGATCGAGACCCCTACGGTGAGGGAGGGAGCAGGGCTGGGGCAGGGCTAAGCACTGCACAGCCAGGACCGGGCTGGGTGCAGGATGGAGCCACAGCTCATCTAGGGGCATGGGAAGACAGCTCCTGCTGCTGCGCATATCCCCGGTGGAAGCATGGGGGTCATGTGCTCCCCAGATCTGTGCATTGGGCAAGGGCGGGCTGCTCCCATGCACTTGGGGCTGGAGACTGCGCCAGACTCTTCCTGGCGTGGGAGGCTGGGCCCAGGCTGCGCTTGGGCCAGGCAGGGGTGTGGTGGGGTGGGATGGGCAGTGGCAGTGCTGGAAGGGGAGTTACGGGGGGGAAAGGGGAGGTTATGGCAGATTATGGGGTGGCTCCAGCCCCCCCACCGTATTCCCCCTCCCCGTGCTCCTGCTGCATGCCCTGCCCCAGCCCAGCCCAGCCCCCACCCGCACCACTGGAAAGAGCCCGGCACAGCCTCTGGCCCTGAGCCCGCAGCAGGAAGCCCACTGTTGCCCCATGCACAGATCTGTGCGGCACGTGTCCCGCATGCCTCCCCCAGGGGTACACGCAGCGGCAGGAACCATCCCCCAGCTCACCCCCCCTCCACAATCTGCTCCCCCCATGTCCCTTCTCTCCCCACCCTCCTTCCCCCTACAGATTTACCAGCTGGATGCTGATCTCCAAGCTGCTGGCTGCACTCCTGACCAGCAGCCCACCCTTGCCTTAGGGCCCTGGAGGTGCAGGTGAGGGAGCTCCAGGAGGAGGTTAGCAGACTGAGGGGAATCAGGGAGGTGGAGGAAGAAATTGACAGCTATTTCCTTTCCCTGCAGGGCCACACACCCAAGGAAGAAGCACCTCGGGAACTGCCCCCCACTGCAGAGTGGCAGACAGTCACCTCCAGAACAAGGGCTATTCATAACACAGCAGTACCAGTTCCTCCAGTCCGGCTGGAGAACAGGTACGAGGCCCTGGCGACACTGGAGCAGAAGGAGGCAGAGGAGGCAACTCCACACCCCAAAAAGGCCGAAGGAGCTAAGCAGTCACGGAGGAGAAAGTGTTGAGTGATTGTCATAGGCAACTCCATCCTGAGAGGTACAAAGGGTCCCATCTGTCGCCAGAACCCCTCGACACGCGAAGTCCACTGCCTACTCGGAGCAAAGATTCATGACGTCATGGAGATGATCCAAGCCGTGATCCAGCCCACTGATTACTACCCTATGGTCCTAATCCATGTGGGTACTAATGATGCGGCCAGGAAAACCCCTGATCACCTGATGGCGGACTACCACGCTCTCGGGGGCGTGCTGAAGGAGATAGGTGCATAGGTGGTATTCTCTTCTGTTCTACCAGTGAGCAGACGTGGAAGACGGCATGAGACATGCATCGCAGAGACCAATTGGCGGCTTTGGGAATGGTGCCTTGAGGGGGCTTTGGCTTCCTTGACAATGACTTGCACATCATGACAAGAGACATGTTCGGGTGGGATGGGTTCCACCTTTCCCCTAACGGTAAGCGTGTGTTCTCATCTACGTTGGCAGATCTCCTCCAGTGGGCTTTAAACTAGTCTCGTCAGGGGAAAGGGAAGATGAGGGAGGAGGAAGCCTTGGACCACTAAACC